GTGCTTCTTAGAGAAACGTTTTAGAAGCATAGCTAAGTAGTCCTTCAGTCCTAAAATAAAGCGAAACAAAAACCCTTAACCCACAAAATCCAAAATGTAAACCAGCGTTTTATGTGTTCAAAAAGAAGCAAATAATCTACACTCTGGAAAAACTGGAGTGCCTTAAATTTTTTGGGAAGTACACTCATACAAAATGTGAAGACAGTAATCCGTGTTACGGTCTTCTGTTTCCTTTTTCCATCTCATAAGAATTTCTTTTTGGTACTAGCTTGTGGCAGCCTTGCTTTTGCCTTGAACAGTGTACATGTTGCATTGTTTTTTTTTTCTTTAAGCATCTTCAGCTCTCTGCCAACCATCTTAGGTTGTGTGAGTTTTTGTGTGCATTCCAGTTTCTGTTGAAGAGACACTTGCAGAAACAGCAAACAAAGGGAACAAGTCAATTTGCAATATGTCGTGCTTTTATTTGCCATACTCAGTCTTAGGTATGGGCAAAATTTGTTTGATGGTGTTGTTACTTATTGGGGGGGAAAATCTGACAAATGAGACTTGGAAAGATGACCTAGGCTATAAATGGGTTTTATACAATTTTGCATATATGTACTTTCCTAAAAGCCTTCAGAGCTAGGCAGTTTCAATTTATGGAAGTTATCTGTATCTTTTATAGTCTTGTTAGGTAGTGTTCCTTTCCCAAAGATTGTACAAAACACTGAAAAAGTTACAGTAGTGTAATTGGGTCCCAAATCAGGCTTTGTGTTTCTGTGGCATAGTTACACTTTTTTTACCTTTCACCAGTTAATAGACTGTTTCTAGCAGTGACACAATAGCTGCTTTTAGTGGACAGTGAGGTGCATGTTTTATGTTCTTATTTATGTTTTTTTTTTTCCAAATTCACTTTCATCAAAGCCAAATGGAGAGTTCTTCTGTTTATCAAAGTACCATAGATATCAAAATTAATTTGTGAAGTGTTCATTAATAGTTACTGAACAGGAATCTTCCTCTTCTTTGTTTCTTAAGATTTCATGGGATTTTCACTTGTTTGTTTTTTTTTTCTTTTTTCTGAAAGAGATTAAATGGTGACAGAACTTAATGTCTGTCTGTCTGTCTGATATAGGGCCATTTAGCAACATGGTCCACCAGACGTGTATTGGTTCTAACTGCAGCTCTGTAGCATGATGAAATGACAAAACTGATGTTGTTCCTTTCTGGAAGAAGTCCTTCTGGAACAACTCGTAAGCAGTGACATCTAAACCAGTCCATACATGTACACACGTGTACGAGAACAAACAGCAAGAGTCTGGGTTTGGTGAACTTTATGAGCATTGAGATGTTTCTGTCCCTTTACCTGTTGTACAGGTTGAACATGAAAGATGGCCCTAGCTGTATCAAAAGACAGTACAAAATAATTTTACAGTTAAGCTGTGTACAACTACATTCTTGCACAAAGGTGTAGATGTGCTTCAGTAAGGAAGTAGCAGCAATAGTCAAGTTGGTTATAAATGAGTATGCAAAAGAGGAAAGGTAGGGGGGAACACTGATGTAACACTAGGACCAGTAAAAATGAAGTCTCAAGACTAGAAATGAAAACAGTATTCTTGAATGACTTACTCTGAAACATACTTTTACAGCTTGCAAATAATAAATAAAATACCAGCAAATTCAGTTGGACATGATAGATATTGCAAGTAGTGTTTCTGGTTGCAATATCTGGGGTTTTAATGACAAAATGGGCCTCCTTTTAGAGTTAGTAGCAAGTCCAAATTTACTTGCTGTGTGGAGTACCTGTGGTGGAGTTTGCATTTTCAGGACATTCCCTGAGTGCAGAGAACTGCTTGTCTCCTGAGATGTGAATTAATTCCCATTAGAGTTGCTGTATTCTAATTAGAGTTAATTATGTAGTGTCCTAAATTATCCTGGCATTGTGTAGGTTTCTGAGATGATGGGTCAGAATGTAGAATTGTTAACAGTCAAAAAAAGCTACTAGAGAGGTAGAAAATGAAGGGCTTGCATAAAAATCACTGTTAATTCACTTCGTTTTGGACTAACCTTAATTTAATTTTTAATCACTTGCATGTGAATTTTTATTTTCTCTGACCACATCTGTTTGCTTGTGCTCTTCTGCTTTTTTTTTTTTTTTTTTTTTTTTGCCATTTGACTATTTACATTATAGGAAGCACAGTAGTGTTGCTTTTGGAACAAAAGTAGTACAGATAAAAATGACCATCTTTTCCTTGGCCAGTGTTGTGGCCTATGCAGGGACCTGTCTTTATTCTTGACTAAATCAATTTAACCTCTGCTTTAAGTTATACAGTGGAAAATATCTGCTATATTAAATTTAGGTTATTTAATGAAAGTGGACTTGTGTATCCTGATCAAGCATAAATTATCAAGTGAAGTTTTTTGTCATATTGACTTTTCCTGTCTGTGGATGTAATTACATTTATACCTCATTCTTCCATAATGTTGGAAGAAGCATGTTTTGGTGACAGCCATGTTACAGGAGAGCCACACTTCAGCTTTTAATGAGTTGAAATGTCTTCATTGTTAAAGCATTGTCAGAGAATGTAAAAAAAAAAAAAAAAAGGCAAGCAAACCCAACATTTAAAGATGAAGTTGTACAGATAATCATGACGTGTAGCCATTTTATAGAACAGATTTAAACAGCACAGGATAGCACTAGTGAATGAGTTTCTGGTTTTCCCTTTTCAGTTGATGGGCTGTAATGCCTGTCTAATTATGGAATTCTTTTAGACCGGTGCCTCTGCAGGAAATATTATTCTTTCCTGAATTTGTAATGCTTGTCTAAAGTGTTTTCAAATTAACTCCATTCACAGTCTTTTTTTTTTTTTTTTTTTTTTTTAAAAACTGGCTGAAATTTATTTTTGTTTGCAATTGCAGTAGATGCTCTTGGTGTAGCGGGAGGTTTTTTCCCATCACATGACAATAACTAGTGTTACAATTTAATTAATAATTACTAAGGGTTAACAGCAATATTAGGGGTACTAACTTGTGAACATCAAGGAAAGTCTAAGATTGGCAAACACAAAGTGTATTTGAGTAGTCTAGCATTAGAGTTATATGTTTGCTTACACCAGTTCTTTGATGTAGTTTTTTTTCCAGAAAAAGTTCTTGTTTTCTTTTGGAAAGGTACTTTGTCTTTGGTAATATTGAGGTTTATTCATTAATACGGCAGTATTCTAGTTACCCTCACCCTCACTTCATGCACTTAGTGAGTTAATGGTACATCTGTGTCCAGCCTTAACTTCATTACAGTCCAAAAAATGTACTTTTGTGTATCCTGAAGGATAAGGTTCGTATGTGTTTGTTTGGACTTTATAAGGGAAGAAAACAATTAAAGGTCACAATGTATTTGCAAAACTAATATAGAATGATTAATTACAGTGGTTGGTAGTTACCTCATATATGTAATTCAGCAAGATCAGGAATTCACAGGTTAAAAGAGGGAGAAAGAAAGGCTGACGTACAGAAACGGAAGAATGTTGTAATCCTGCTGTTGATGTTTCTATCTGAATCAAGCTGCAAGCCCACATTCGGGTGCTTTTTAATTGTTCATTTATGGACAGACTACTATATGGCTGATGTTTCCTTTAACTGTGAGAGACAGAGAGACCCATAGATTTTTGGTTTATATGAACCAATGCCTTGAGCCAGCGTGGGATTATTATGTGTGTGTGCAGTGGTGTTTGTTTTCTAACCGCGGTTAATGGATGCCTAGACTAAACTGTTTATTTCAGCATAGTGCATTCCTTTTCCTTTCAACAAGAAGACAATGTTACTGTGTGACAGGAAAGGAGCGTTGTTTTGACTGCTTTTGCAAGTTGAAGTCATTGTGGCTGTGGTTTGCCTAGTTTCTACAAATGAGATGTTATGAACATTTAAAAATAGTATCTGGTTATCTGACCCTTCTGGTTAGTGTGTTGGGAAAATAAGAGTCAGAATATAATGGAACAAAATACTGCAATTTTTTAAAACAAAGAAATACTTTTTTTTGTATTGCCACAAACATGCAACCTGGTTTTTTTTTTTTAACGGCTCCTCATCTATAATAACAGGAAATGGTGGGAGAAATGTATTCCTTTTATAGATTTAGCATACTAGATATTATTAAGAATTAGTTTTCATTACTAATCTTCTGTCACCCCAGGAAAACATTAAAGAAATGAAAAATCTTGTGTTTTTCTGATTTACCTTTCTCTAAACTCTTCTGAGAGTACATCTGTGTATCTCCTGACAACACTCTTGTTTTGGCAAATGTTACCTAATGATGTCTGGTTAGTATCATTATTTTTTTTCTCCTTAACAAAAGTGAGCCAAATGGCTCTTGTAGTTAGATCTGAAGTATTTATGTCCTCTTTTCCCTTTTCCTGAAAAGAAATGTGGAATTCAGTTTTGTAGGTGAGAAGTACTTTTGAGATATAGTCTATAGCTAAAGGAGGGAGGAGTCAAGGAGAAGGGGGATATCCTAAATCTCATATTCTCTCTTGTTTTGCATCCATGTAGTCTTACTAGGAAGTTTATCTTTTCTTGGATTTATGTATTTATTTAGCACATACTAATTGTCATAGCACATCTGTGTAACATTTTTGTTTTTATTCCCTCATGTCTTTAAAGCTGGAGTGCCTAATGCAGTTAGTAAGAGCTGGAGCTTCTGTAAATGCCAGTACAACCCGTTTTGCTCAAACACCAGCCCACATTGCTGCTTTTGGAGGACATCCACAGTGCCTGAATTGGTTGATCCAAGTGGGGGCCAACATAAACAAACAGGTATGGATTCATGTGTACTTCACCTGTGCATATAGTTTTGGAAGAAGTGTCTTGATCCCTTTCTATGACATATGTGATCCTTACATTAACATACAGATACTTTATTTTTAACATCAGCTGAAGTCAAATGACTTAATTATTAGTTATAGACCTTTTACATTAGAGTAGAGATAGGACTAATAAATGTCCTTTAAGCTTCTAGGGGTTTGGAGGACATTTGTTTTAGGAATTGACATCTTGCTACTTCTTGAACAAAATGGTAATGCTGCTTTGGTATTGGCAGCATTAGCAAATATTCTGATATTGTAGTGCTGCTTTAGGGGCAAGAAGGAAGACTAGTAAGGAACATAATACGTACTAAATATGCTAAGAATTGGAAAATTCACCATTACCTACAGACCCATGAGACCCTTATGGTGCTTCATGATTTAGTCACACATCTAACTAGTAAGGTCTGCTGTGGTTTATTTTAAGGTGCACATGGTTTTATGTTTTTTTTTTTCTTTTTAGATTATTTCCAAAGCTTTTCTAGTAACTTCTTGAAAATAGATCAGAAGCATGTACTTTACTAACAAAGAATGAATGGATGACTTAAATTTTTTTTTTTACTATAATTTTTCATTACTTTTACTGGGAGTATGTAATTTATTTGGTAGCAGAGAGTGCATAAATATAGCAAAATACCTGTAAAGAACTGTTTTACTCTGGTGAAGTAACAGAATTGGATGCTTAAAATCTATCATATTTTTGAAGAAAATGTTTGAAGTTCTGAATGAATCTATTATGTATGCTGGACATACATAACATATACCTTTTAAATGGTAATAAAAAGTATTTTTAATAATATTCTGTGAGAGTAATTGATACTACAGCATATGCTGTTATTGAAAGCTGTGGTATAGCACAGCATCTGTAAAATGTCTGGCCTATTAAAAATTGTATCATACTTTTCTTAAAATATTTAATGGCCAGACTTTGTTTTACATGCAGTAGAGTTAAGCTAAGTCTGCTGAAGAACTTAAACACTTGCATTTCTAGAGTTTGGTTCTTTTTTTTTTTAAGCTATGCAAAAATAAGAAATGGGGAAGTTTGTGTTGAGTTTTCAGAAAAGAAGGCTGGTGCATTGAGAACAGCTGTGAGACACCAGGAGAATTGTAGAAACAATGAAGGTGACTGGATGCAGAGGCTATAGATCGCATCTTCTCCTTGATACCTGACAAAAGTAACTTATGCAATAAGTTATTGCTGCATAGTGGTAGAATCTTCAGAAGAGAAAATACAAGAACTATAAATGCATCTGGAGACCAGGTAAGAATGTAAAGAAACGGTGATTAGAGAGGAAACATGGCATGCACAGAATAAAGATGTACAAATAACTGCTAAATGAGAAGAGAAGAATGAATGAAAATGAATGAATGAGAAGAATGAAAGTTTCCAGCTATGAGGATAAAGAGAAGAACTGACCAGTGAGGTTGAAATGGAGTTGAAGAACAAGCTTGCTGTCCCGGAACATGATGGGGGGAAAAAAAAAATCACATGTAGTGAGTGAGGTTGTAGCAAAGAAGAAAGTAGCAGCTAGCCTCCAGAAGAAGAGAAGAGAGTGGAGAGATCTCTCCATGGGCTGAGGGCAACATGCAGATGACTGTAAAAGAAAGCAGAAGGCAGTATAATATGCAGTTAAAAGTGGGCAGGAAACTCATTCCAGCTTAAAGAAGTCACCAAGGCAAGCCAGTGACTCGGGAGTCTATATATTAGTGGTTTGTCAGCGGAGCAAATGGTCTTCCACAGGAGGAAGAGTAGTGTAGTTCTTGAGTTCAGATAGTGATGATAGTATCTTATAGGCTTCTAAGGGCAGACTTAGGTACTGACAGGCCAAGGACACAACAGAGATGGGTACTGAGAGCTGACATTGTGAGCACCTTGTGTGTTGTTAATGGTAGGCTCAAGTTGCACTTGAATGTAGTAGCTTTTTTTTTTTGCCCCCACAAAATACTAACTGAACATACAATTAGAGGCATTTCAGACTCAATTTGATGATAAAGTAAGATACCTGTGGTTAATTTTAAATAGTAGTAGAAACAAGAGTGTCTCTCAAGTTGTTTGTTAGGATGCCACTGGTCAGTCACACTGGTTTCGCATGCGCAAGCACTGAAAGCTAGGCAGTGTGCCTTCATGATACCTAAAGCAGAAAACTCATCCCACAGATAGTTGGATACATGGCTATGTAAAGCACAGTGCATGCTTTGCTCTCCCCAGTTCCTTCAGCTGTTTATTAAATTGCAGTCAAATTCTACTACTCTTGTTTGATTTCAATTCCTTAAACGATCTTGGTTCCTTATTTAACTTGCAAGCACCTTCAGGTGATCATCTAGGGCTTCCACCCACACTTTTGAGCTGTTGGAGCACTATTTCCTGATGTGTATTTTGTTTATTCCTTCCAGCTCGCTGACTGATGCTGTACTCCAAACAGACATAGTCACTGGCTAATGCTTGTGTGAGGACAAGTGTTCCATGGACACTGGATACAAAACACATGCTGAGAAAGATCTGGGAATACTTGATATTTAAAATAGTAAACTTTCCTTCCAAACTGACTCCTGGTCATTGGCTACAGACTAACCCATCACTTCTGGAAAAAGAAAAGGATAGCTTCTGAAAAGGAATCCACTCAAGTCTCTCAGTTTTAACGTAAACCTCCGGTACTCAGTAGAATTTGCATGCATGCTTTCTCATATCTGCCCTGAGGTATTGTATTGTAGCCCATGCTGCCTGCCCTAAAGTTTAGGAAAACTTAAAAATGTCTCATCTCCTTGCTGGTGACAACTGCCCAGGACACTTGTGAGGCAGCAGCAGTGAAGGACAAGTGCTGAAAAGTGCTTGTCCCAATTGTCCTTTGCTCCCCAGATAAGTTTTCTGAGTATATCCTGTGATGCCTAGCCCTCTTATAACTGTGTGTGCTGGCTAGAACCATCTCTATGATCAGTGGGCAGTTCTTCCCCCTCTGGTTCACCATAAAAAATGCACAGGAGGAAAGCCGAAGTGCCAAGCAATGGCCTGACTGTTTTTACCCAGCAGTGAACCCAAAAGAATGTCCTGCTGTTTGGGTTTGGTTTTTTTTTTTCAGTGGGCAGCGCCTGCTAATAGTTCTTAGTAATGTGACTCAGGACCTGCACTTGGCTGCCTGCCTGCTCTAGTTCACTGTAATAGTGCAGAGCAATTATGTTGCTACTTTTCCTGAGGATTTTTTCTGTTTTATCTTTGTCACAACGCAGATTGATTCTGGGCTGTTGTACATATTAACACCGGATAATCATGAGTACTGTTTGATTTAGAAGACTGTTAGCTTTTGTTTAAATACTTTTTTCCCTCTAGCTGCAGCCTATTAAATACGTCTGTTGTATGTTGCCTGTGTTGATTGGCCAAAAAGTTTTGTGTAGCCTGTCCTAAAGAGAAGGGAAAAGAAATACTACATCCTTACAGGTGATGCAACTTAATTTTCATGCAGTCAGTTATCATCACATGGCAGTGATGGCAGATTTAGGAGGGTTAGATTACCCATACTAGCAAGAACTGTAAACATGCTGATATCCTTGGTGGGGAGGAAAAAAAACACTCATTATTTTGGTTTGTTATAGTTTTGTATTTTCAACAACAATTTGGACTAAATCCAGATAGGAATATCCCATCAGTTCTCATTTGCACTCAAAATTCAGAAGGAGAAACAATCACAAATTCAAAGCATTTTTAGCGAAGAATGAGGAAAAGTACTCAGTGTGTTCTTTAGTTTCTGCTTCCTAGCTTCAGAAAGGGTGCTGAGTCTAAGACATCTGAATAGCTTCTGGAAATGTGATCATCTGATAGAACTTGAAATTCAGTCAGTTGAGTTAAGGAATTGGGTTAGTTTGTTTCTTATCAGGTAAAATAGTGCTTCTCTATCTTAGTGAGATATCATTGGAAGTGTTTTACAAGTGCTTGCAGAGTGTTGAGGTTTAACCTCAGTAGATCCCTAAGCACCACACAGCCACCTCCTTGTTCCCCCCACTCAGCGAGTTGAGGGGAGAATCAGAAGAGAAATGTGAGAGAAAACTCATAGGTTGAGATAAAGGCAATTTAACAGGTAAAAAAAGGAAGAAAAGAAAAACAAATCCAAGAAAAATCAAGTGATGATAAAAGCCTCACACAACAACCAGAAAAGCTTAGTTGCTCACCAATAGCTGACTGATGCCCAACCAGTGCCCAAGCAATGACAGCCCTGGCAAACTTCTCCCTCCACCTGCCACAGCTTCTTTTGCTGAGTATGATGTTATATGGGACAGGATAATCCTCTGGTCAGTTTGGATCAGTGGTCCCAGCTGTGCCGTGTCCCAGCCCACTCCTAGCTAAGACTTCGGATTTGTGCCCAAAGCCATGTTTTTAGTACACCAAAAAAACCTTACTAGCTGCTCTGAAGAAAATTAACTGTGTGCCAGCTAAAACAGTACAAATAGTTGAAAGTTTTCAGTGTAAATGTGTATGGGAGCTTTTTATTTTAAAAACAAATATCTGCAGGTAAGTTGGTTTTGGATTTTGGGGGGGGTTGGGTTGGGTGGGGTTTTTTGTTTGTTTTTTTTTAATAAATGGAAGGAGACTAAAGGTACCAGTGAGTGAAATTACCTGAATCATATCCAGGAACTTGGAGAACAAAATGGAAAATGCCCTCTGAATTCACCAGGAAGATCCTCAAGCCAACAGAATTTTGGGTCCCAAAAAGACAGAAAGAGGGAAAGTGGAGTAAAAAAATGGGTTTGGAATGAACTGAAAAAATACCCACATCTAAAAGAGACCTGGGAATAAGCAGCAAGTTTGAGAAAAGTATTTAATCAGTAGAGGAAATGTCTTTTGAGGTTAAGCAGCATAGTGAGGAATTGCAAACTGATTAGTCAAGCTGAGATAGATTTACTGATTAAAGCAAAAAAAGCAAAAGACTCTTCAGCCACATAAATAAAAATACAATAAGGAAGGAAGCCAAATACTTATTCAGTAAAATGAAAGAAGTCAAAGGTAATCTAGACATGACCCCAAGGCAGAGAAGACTGCCCCTGTCTTTGTGAAAGGATAGCCATGCTTCTCCAGGGGAAAGGAAGAAGGTGTTCATCAGAGAGTTGCAAAAAATGTGTGTCTAATGCTTCATGACTTTTTGTCATTTCTTCAGGAGTACTGTATACAAAATACTTAGTTTCCACAGAAACAAATGTGTTATCTTGAATGCTAAATTAATGAAACTTAATTGGCATTTCTGCTTATTTATTTATAGTGCAACTTCTAGATAGTGAGACAAGTGTTAGAAGAGAAGGGTAAATGAGACCTTGACAAGTTCTGCTCTTGGTATGAAAGACCAGTACAAGTTATTGATGCTTCCCTTCCTGCAATATTACTACAAAAGGGATTGTATCAGAGTGAAGCACATATGGGAAGTATGAACAATTTAAAGGATTATGAGGTATTGACAAGGATAATTAGGACTTTGTTGAGCCCCTCAAAATAACTTCTTTTGCTCTGCATAGCCAAAAAAATATGAAAATGTGCCAGCAAGCTAGACCCTGAACTGTTCTCAGAAGCTTCTTGGAAAAAGCGGTTATTTTGGTTTTTATTTGGTCACATGGATTCCAGTTGTTGAATCAAAACAGAATTGTTCTGATGCTCATACAAAGCACTTTAGTTTCCTTTTTGGATGTGTTGAAAAATAAGTAAATTTAAAAGCCATTTTTTAGTGGCCTATAATTTTTTCCTTTCAGTCTAGCTCATAATCCAGAGATAATTTCTTAGCAGAGCTAGGAGAGTAGTTCAGAAACTGTTTCAGTGCCCCTTAGGAGAATGTCAAAGGAAGATAATAGTAGTGATGGCTGAAATTTAAGTGCTGTAATTAAAAGGAATGCTATAAAAATCTAAATATGTGTATTCTGTCATTTTCTAAGTATTTTCTCAAATCCTTAGCTTTAGACACACATGCTTTTCTGGGCCAGTGATTGAAAGCAGTCCTTCTCAAGACAAATATTCTCTTCTGTGATACTAATGTTCTTCCACTTGGCAATGGAATCTTTAGCTGCCACAGGCTTAGGTCATGCTAATGCAAAGGTCTTTGCTTATCTTTTCTGTCTTTCTCCACAATAAGACTTCATAATGTTCTCTAGGTCTTACTGTGGACAATATGCTAGTTTTATGGGGCTAGTAGAGATTTTTGTCATCTTTATCACATGCATGGCTACTTGAGCTGACTTTCCCTAAACTGAACCTCTTTTAACTGAGGGTTGGTTTTGTAAATACTAATGCTGAGCACAAGAGGCAAATTACTTCTTTTCTACACTTTTACCTCTTTAACAAAAAGGGGGGGAAGGGGCAGATTGGGGGGAGAAAACAGTAACAGAATGATGAATGAAAGCCCTCTTCCATGATTGGAAAATTTATTACACTAGGAAGAAAATTTTTCAAGGTAAATTACTGTCAAATGAATTTGCATGTATGATAGTTAATGTAATTGTATCCTCTTTTAAACTTCTCTGTCTTCTTGTTACTTCAGGAAAACTTATAAATAGGAGAAATTACATAAACTTCATGGGAAAGCAGTCTTCTGTCCATCAGCTATAGACAACCATTTTGGAAGGAGGGCTGTATGGCTCTTTTATAATCTCTAAGGAATTTTCTGCTCTTTTCTGTCTCCAAGCTTTGTCAGCCTCAGCAATTTTCCTTAGTTTATAAGAAAGTAAACTTTGTTAGGTACCATTATTGCTCCTTGCTGGGTGTGCTAGGTAGTTCATTGTTTGGCTGAATATCTATCTTAAGCACTGATAAACTGGCTTACTCAGTGAATTTGTAACTCATTATAAAAATATTTTACCATGAAATAAAATTGGCAAATTGGAAATTGAGAGTACATAACACATAATTCAAAATTCATGTTCAAGTTATATTTACATGGTCTAAAAGATGTGATTAAACTTCTCAAAAGCTTGGCAAAGAATTTAAAACTTTGGTACTTTCTATCTATTTGAATATAATCACATTTCAAATAGGGCTTAAGTATAACCAGTACTGTAGAGCTAGGCATGAACACTGTTGTGTGTAAAGACTGGTGAGTCAGTAAGGTGCTGTGTTAATTTAATGTAGCTAGCGTTGATATTTTAATAAAAGAAACAGGGAAGCAGAACTGAGGCACATACAGTTAGAACATGTTTAATATTAGTCAAACAGACCAGTAAAGTCCATCAGAAGTTTGGAGAGAAAGAGGATGGGAAAGAAAACAAAAAAAATCTTTGCTATCCACTGCAAGTGTTAAGGATTGTGATGATTAAATCATGTTAACAAACCAATAACAACATTTACTTGCTACTTAAAGGCAATGTTTCATTACAGATTCTTCTCTGTTGTTCTTAATACTGGTGGTTAATTGCAAGTACTGCGTTTCCTCTGCAGCCTGTAGATCACAATGCATGGAATTTACTTGCTGCTTGCTTGGATTTGTAAAATTGCTGTAGATTCTCCCTGTTGTGAAGACAGTTGGTAGGGAGCAGTTGTCTGAAAAGCCTCCCAGTATGTTTACACATAATGCAAAAAGACTAAATGATTGGATGTGCTGGTTAATACTAATAGAATGTAAATGCACAAAGGAAATCAGAAAAGACAAGTATGTAGGATGTGGGTCAATATTTATGTCTTGGGAGAGATCTGGCCTGTCCTATGAATGCTGGGCATACTTCTGTTACAGTAGAGTTCTGCATACATAGTCCTCTCCTCCTGAGTACTGAGGGAGCAACACAGGACTGTGTAAGTGTATCAGCCAGATCTGAAAGCAGTACAGTCCCACAAGCTCAGCCTTGCTGCTTCTGAGTTCAGGATGGCTTGCTCAGTCCAACAGGATTGGGATACAAAAGTGCTAGGAGATAAAGGGGTTAGAATAACTTGTTGCAGTGCTATATGCTGGGGGGGGGGTTAACAAGTTTTGCTGAATATGATTGCTGATTGCCTAGTTAGGGTTATCTTGTGAGTTAAATGCCCTTTGTGTTATTTCTTGCTAAATATCTAATGTACATGGCAGCCTACTGCAAACTTTAAAGTAATGATAAAGTACCTGATGTATTTGCTAGCTTATGTGTTGCTTTTATGTATCTGCTTTCTTAATTAAAGTGAGTAATGTAACAATAAGATTTTAATTTTTAGAAAGATAATGCTTGACAAAATGTAGTTTATCTTTACAGGATTATGTTGGTGAAACTCCTATTCATAAAGCAGCTCGATCTGGTAGTATGGATTCCATAAGTGCCCTTGTGGCTCATGGTGCGCAAATAGAGTAAGTGAGGTTTGGTTTTTTTGTTGTTGTTGATTGTTGTGTGTGTAGCTAACTAACTTAGACCAGTAAACATAGATACTAATTTCAGAAAGAAAAGTCAAAACAGCAGACACCTGATTAAAAGACAGCTAGACATGTTCAACTGTAATGAAGCCCAGGATGTTTTGCATGTCTAGTAGTAAAGATTATTTTATTTAAATTATAGCAGTGTACTAAAGTATTACAGCATTTATATCTGATACGTTATAATATTTATCACTCTTCTGTCAGATGACCCCAAATTGTACACTTTATTCAGCATGTAGTTATTTTTGCAACAAATCTACACCTTGCACTGGTGAATAAATATAGAAAACAATGCAAAAGCAAAATTATGTGCAAAATAGCAATTCACACACTCTTTGCAGTTAGTTTAATACTGTTTGTTAGTGTATTGTGTATTTGCCCTGTTAACTTTTTTCTTTAAAGGTTTATGTACTGCAAAAACATTCAGAAAGCTCACAAACTTTTGCAACTTACAGCATGGACAAAATGGATGCAGTTTTCACCTAGAAATGTTGAGTATAAGCTCTATGGCTTATAATAATGTCAATACTTAAGCAATTTGTTTTAATTAGAACTAGCTTTATTATCTGAAATGGTAACTAGTTATTGTATTTTAACCTGCAATATGAAACTGAAGTTGTGAGTGAAATAAGAATCATTTAGTTAAGTTCCTGTTTTACCCTTTGGTTTCCATCTTACTGTTTTTGTAATGCTGCACTGATAAATATACCATAAAATATGACTCTTTTCAGTGGTGTCATAGCATATTCAGGAAATACACTACCTTTTAAGTGAATAGTAGTGAACAAATTGCTTTATATGAAGGGATTGCTTCACAGAAAAATTAAATAAGCCGTCTCAGTTATTGACAAGATCATGAAATCAGTCTTAAATTTATAAATTCCCATTTTGCTCTCACTTTCAGATATTTTAAAGGTAAACTTGGATTTACATTTTACTGTGGAATTGAGCAAACCTTAATTATCATCATCAATTAGTATATAATCTTGTGGTTTTTACAAAGTAGCCAACCAAAAGAGAAGTTGTGGAACTGCATAAACCATGTGAAGTGAGTGATGTCTGCCTTTGACCAAAGCTATTTACAGCAGAAGTAGTGTAGGTTTATAGCAGTTTTAGTGAACAGGAAATAATTTGAACTCTCAATTTTTTAACTTTTGAATTCCATCTATATTTCAGTAGACTAGATTTGTCACAAGTTTTCTATGTTATTAAACATCAGATCCTATCCAGGAAATGGTAAAATCAGTGATGCAAATGCAATGGGCTTGTGGAGCAGCCCATGTTTAGTCATTTAGAGGATAAGGACTTGGCCTTGTCACCTGAGAGAGGTAGCTATTGACTGATAGGAGTGAGGATTCTTTTTCCAGGGTCAGTATGTTAAATTAGGCCAAATCAATGTATGTGCTTTTGACATTGGTTTATTTTGGGTCATCTGGATTTGAAAACTGGCCCCATATTAATGATTATGTTGATTTTCTGATTTTTGTAAAAACTTAAAAATGTAGATGCTCTGAAAGTTTTGACTCCTTTATTTTATGGCTCCAGTTAGAAGAAAAGGAGAGGGATTTTAGCCATAAAATTGAGTTCTAATTTGTGTATTTTAACTGGAATGATAATTAAGTGTATAAGACCAAGTCAAGACTTTTATTCAATACAGACCTAAGCACTATTGCTGATCTGTAGTGATGACGAATAAGACCTTTTTATTTTTACTGGGATTAGATCTTTTAATCCAGTTTTTTTCTTTATTTCTTCATATAGTTGTGGTATCGAATCTAGTTTTGTGAAGATGCAGAGAAATGTCCCTTATGTCTGCAAATAGTCAAATATACTATTTTTACATGATATTTATAGTATACATCCAGAATGCACCATCCCTAGTTTTTCTAGCCAGTAGAACAGGGATGCTATTACACAAACACTAGTAATGAGTAGTGCAACGTTGCAAGAAATGTATTCTTATTAATGACTGATTATTGAAATACTGCTGTTAAAATGAAGCAACTTGGACTAGTGTAATCTTGTTACCAGTTTCTATTTTATTCACTCCTTTGGTTATATTGGAAACCAAAGAATATTGACAATAGTCCAGTTAAGGATAAAAGTAAGAATTTTAGTTTTAATGAAATGGCCTCACTTGAATTGTTCTGGTTTACTTTATGTCAGGCTTGTTAGTGTATTGCTTTTACAGAGAAAGATAGTATGTTGCAGCCTCTAAATTTCATTAAGCTGTTGCATTGTTTTCCTAATTGATGAGAGAGAATTTGGGTCTCTATTCCTGTGTAAATTTTTAATAATATTAAAAAATAATAATTGTACCCTAGTGAAAATATTTTGATTTTTTTTGTGGTATTTACCTTTTCATTTTAGCTGAAGCATATTCTGTGCACAGTATGTCCTACAGCCATAAAAATGGTTGCTCCACTAACTATGATATTCATGGACCCTTGAAGAGGGGGAAGCAGGTGGTCACAATGTCCTCATATGAGTGAAAAGGTTTGCTGTGTAACTGACTTTTTAATGTGGATAGTACCTTTTAAAGTATCCATAACTGCTGGATTTTCACTAAAAAGCATATTTATGCAATTTATGTATGGTTAATTGTGTATTATTTATTATGATGGTGACAGACAAGCGTCCACAGCTTTTTATGGAGGAAAAGCCTTCTTGGTGCCATGTTTTGTTTTGCTCTGTTACACTATTTTTTAAATGCTGTGTATTAATATAGTTATATAGATTGCATCACAGCAGATATATAAAAATATAAAATTCAGCTGTAAATACAGGACAGTGTTGAATCAAAAAAAGAATAAGCAGATGCAGGTGTTAATTATCCTGACTTGAACTTCCTTCATTTCATGTCCATTTGCATTCAGTGCACTTGAGCATTTTGTCCACTTATTTCTGAATAAAAATTCTTCTGCAATTCTCAGTTAAGCAGTTGTGTACTCCTTAGTGTCTTGTTTTAGAGCTACGAGGGAGGTTTCAAACACTGTATTATCCTGGGATAGAGAGGTGTAACTTGTGGAATGGCATGTGGTTTGGTATGCAGCCATCCAATTGCACACAAGTATTTGCCTGCTTTATTGATCAAGATTCTTGAATAGTATCATAGGAAAGCTTTTTATTTGTCTGCCAGAAATCTTAAGGTTTTGGGGGAAATTGGTTTGTATACCATGATGGGATCTTACAAGACCCCAAAGAGATACTTTCTTTCCAATTTCTTATACTCTGGTCTCCAGGTTTGAGGAGCAGAACTGACATCACTGGGATAAATATACCAGTACCTCTGTTTGTACCAGATGACATATCGTGGTGTTGATCTGGTTTAGGCAGACACTTCAGCCATGTTCTCATTAAAGCTGTCTGGCATTCATTTGAGTGTGTAAATTCACTCTTCCTATAATGCCAGAAATGTCCTATCACTGGTATTGAGTTTTTCAGCAAAAATTTTATTCTCGTTCTTTGACAGTGGCTTAATTTTATTTCTTTGTTGCAAATTCATGTGTCACAAACTGCATGGTGTTGTTTAGAAAGGCATCATTAATTTCTTTTTTCTTCTTCACAACTGCTCTCCAAACTTCATAACAGAAATCTATCTATTGTGAGGTTTTTAGTGGATTAGCCCTTTGTGAAATTCTTGTTTCTGTTTAAAGTGAAGTCTGTTTCATGTTTTAGTTGTGATCACTTTTTTGATATCTCAGCTTTTGTTCTCCTCATTTGTACTTTTGAGATTTCTTAACTTTCTGAAAACCAGTCATCTCTAGTGAAGAGACAGAATAGTCTGAAGATTTCATGATGACAACACAGAAATCAGCCATTCCCTTGTGATGTAAACCCTCAGTTCCTTTTCAGTCTGGAGGGGAAGCTTACATGGCCTGTTGTCTTGAAGGGTCTCAAGGTTCAGAGATCTGCATTAGTTTCCAGATTTCTACTTGATTTCTTAAAATCTTAGCAGCTACTTGCAGGTTTTTGATGTGTGCTTGTTTCTCTTGCCTGGCTAACTTAACTACTGAACTTCTAATACTGAAGTGCAGTCCCTTTCTGGTGTCAGTGTACCTGTGAAGTGCCATGACTGTGTCATCTCTGGCTTCAGAAGCTGCACTGCTACATGGGTTCAGTGTGGAAGAGCCAATGTCCTGCTTTCTTACGGTCATTGGCCTCATCTCGAGAACAGTGCTTCAGGTTCTTACTGATCATTTGTCTGAGAATAGGACTTAGGTGCTTTTTCAACAGAGAGGTTCTTATCTGTTAATTAGTATATTAATGCTTATATATTATGTTTGGCACTTTTCAAACTTGGACCACTTCATACAAAATTCTTATTGTTAACCTGATTGCCTGCTGTCCAGATAGCAGTTAAACTGCTGGATTAATTACTGTTGTTGCATTATTAGTCTGTGCTGTATAGTTGAGGAAACAAATGTGGCAGTTCTTGTTTAATTGTACATAACAAGCATTTTAAGGACCATCACTGTGGTATTCTTGTAGTGACCATTCTACAATACAGGGGTATACACGTTAGAATTTGTTCTGCCTTTCCCACTTTATAAAAATTTTTACAGAAAGGCAAATTCAAAGTGGCATGTACATTTCAGTAGTGAAACACTAATTCTGCAAAAAAATTGCAAGGAAAGCTTGATAGTTTCTTACATTTGGTTTCTTGCTTGATTGCTGTGGTTGTAGAAGAACTTAAGGTGGCTTGTAGGAGCTTGTGACCATGAGGTAAGGTAGTAATTTGGGGTTAGTCTCAAGAAAAGATTTTGAAATACTGAAGTAGAATGTGTATGCCTGGGTAACTGATAAAAAATGAGACTCAGTCTTAGAGTAAAACAGCGTGGAAACCAGTAGTCTTCACAGTTACAACTTTTTCAAATAATTGCAGGAAGCTGAGGAAAACTCTTACCACTGAATTTGTGTTCAGTTTGAATGCA